GAATAAATTCCTCTTGTTCTTCCTTCTGCCACATTCAGCACATATTTCCATAATGGCCTGTGTTCTCCAGGGTGCTGGTAGCTGTTAAACAGAAATAAAGAGCTACAGGTCAAAAAGTTGGGGGAAACAAGGGAATTAAGAGAAGTCAAATAGGGTTTTAAGCTGCAGCACCTTGCAGTCCTTAGTGTGCAATCTGGAGAGTGCCCCAGGGGCTAAGGTCCTCTGGAGTCCTAAGGGAAGCCATCTTTTCTTCTGAATGATGGGGAGACAGAGACCCAAAGTATACAGTTGGAGAGAGTTGGAGGAGACACTGGAACAATCAAGGATTCTTAGCAGGAGGGTAGGGGGTGGTGATCTTAGCGGGTGGCAGGATGTGGGTGGTGTGGGGTGAGGGTGGGAAGTGGTCACTCTTGCACAGAGCTTGGCTGACTTGTGAATGCTCGACTTGTAAATGAGTGCACTCTGACTGCAGGGCAGGTGTCAGAATGGACTGCCGTGGACTCCACCTCACAGGAATGCCAGTGGGACATCCTAGGGCTATCTCACCATTGTCCTAAAGAGGCCATTCCAGCAGCACAGGTGGCAGTGACCATTTTCTAAATGGCCTTTGGAACATGCTGCAGAGGCTCAGTTGCTTTCATGGTGAGACTCCATGGGATTGGAGGCCAGACCCCTTTAAGAGGCAGTCTTAGTAGGCATTCCTTGAACAACCTGGGGAGGTGTGTGTGTGTGGAGGGGGAGTGTGTGCATATGTGTGTGTGCATGTGTGTGTGTGTGTATTTGTGCACTTGCCCCTCTCTGCTTCCAGGCTTGAACTGTGATTATCCCTTCCTGGTCTGAGTGGTTAACAGCATGTCAGCTCAGGAAGTTGGAGATTTGGCCTGTTCAGTCCCCTGCCATCTTCAGGCACACAATGGAAAGTGCCCAGGAAACACTTGATGAATGGATGGAAGAAATGATCTTGTTCTTTTTGCAATTTTCGAACCATGCCTCTTGTTAGCACCCGGGGCTGCCTGGTCCAGAGGTGTGCTCCTGTTCTGAATCAGACTCGAGCTCCTGATCCCAGTTAAGGATCTGACCCACTGTCCCTGCTGCCTTGCTCTGTTGCCCTTGACAACCTGACAAGGAGATGTCGCATTTGATCTTCCTGACTCAGAGCTATTGCCTTTTATCCTTGGGAGTTCTTAGGAGATGCCTCTGCGACTCAGAACCTCCAGAGACAGCTGGAAGATGCGGGGTGCGCCCCAGCGGCCTCTGCTTGGTTGAGTCCCTTGTTTCGGGTGGCACTCACTCCTGGTTCCTTACCTGTCTCCGAGATAGGCCCCACTTGGGGCAATGCACACTTTTAGCTTTGTCACATGTATAAATATTACAGTATCACCTCTAGAGACCTTTGGCAACCTAAGAAAACGGCGACTTTTAATGAGCAAGTACAGTAATTTAGTGTACAAAAAAAAAAAAAAAAAAAACCAAACAAACAAAAAACAGCACTCTCCTCTTTCTGGGACACAGTATTGTCACAGGACTAGCAAGGGACAGGGTTTGTAACCAGAAAGTCAGCACAGCTAGGTCCTACTTACCTCTCAATCAGGATCATGCTGTGTGCTGGGCCCTTAATACTTATTATCTCTTGAATCCTTTAGCCCCACTAAGTTATTCTTCATTTTACCTTAAAATTGGGTTATATTTGCCTTCTCTCCTCCCTCTTGTTTTCTTCCTCCTTTCTCTTCATTCTATCCCTCTTTACTTTTTGGAGGTGGGTGGGCGATTATGTATGTAGCCCAGGTTGACCTTGGACCTGTTATCCAGATACCTTAGTGTTGGGGTTCCAGGCCTACACTGTCACCCCCACCTCCTCTGACTTTTTATAAAAATTCAACACCGGGACCAGATGTGCCTTTGATTCCAGCCCTGTGATGTCAGAGGGAGGTGGATCTCTATGAGTTTGAGGCCATCCCACATAGTGGGTTCTAGGCAGATGGGATCACATAGTGAGACCCTGTCTGGATGGAAAGAAAGAAAGAAAAAGAAAGAAACTGAAAAGCTATGCCACCTTTCAGGTAGGGGTGGGCATTTGTCTGGCTTGAGCAAAGTCCTGGGGATCTTATAAATGATGGGGACAGTGGTCTGTACTGGGTACACAGTCAAACCACCCCAGGAAGTTACAATGACTGAATGCTGAGTTTCCAGCTCAGAAAACACAAGGCCGGGAGTGAGATCCAGGTGTTGGAATTTGTCTCGTTTCCCAGGCAAGTAAAAAATGTGGACGGGGACACTGGGGTAGGGCTGGAGTTCAAGTCTGGGGTATTTGCGCTCTACCAGAGGATGAAATTAAACTTTAGACTTGGGTCCCACCAGGGGTCTCATGGGTTTCTAGGTCTGGGCGTGGCCAGGAGCCAACATTTCTCACTAGTTCCCTGAAAATACCGCACATGCCGGCTCAGGCACCGCACTTCGAGAAGTGCAAGGTGGAGGCAGGCTGGGCCTATTTGACAGGTGAGGGAGCAGAGCAGGCGCAATACTCAGGGTCCCTTTCTGTCTCCCATGTGAGCTTCCTGTGGGGACTTATTGCTGTGGGTCTCTGAAGAAGGTGAATACAAGGAAGTTGGAATAATAATAACAATAATAAAAGCCAATAATCCCGCTCCCCTGATTCAAACACTCCAGCCACACTCCTTCAGCCTGTGAATACCAGTCGAGTTACTCTTGGGCACAACAGTGGGGTCACCACTCATGGGCTCTGCCAGGACAGCCTGTGGTGGCTGTGGCTGGCTCTCTCTTGACCCTTGCTTCCTTGGTTGATAGTTCCATGTTAAGTGGGGCACCCCCTCCCTACTCCTTTCACCTTTCATCACACAGCGACTTTCCTTTCTCCTGGGTTCCAGCTCATAGCTGAGATAGGACTTTTTAGCATCTGTCCGTCCTGCTGGGCTTGAGCCTCCTCTCCTTCACCAGTGTCCCCGGGTCCAGCCGTGGCTATAAACGGAATGATCCCGACAGGCTTTGGGCTCATCGTGGAAGAGATGAACCAGCCATACTCTTCCAAATACCTGTAGCCTCGCTGGAGCAAAGGCAGTAGATTGTTCTGGAGAGATTCCCACAGGGCATCACACCTGTATGCCAGGCCCAGACCCTCTCTTATATTCATGGGGGACTTCGACCAAGTCTCTGTGACCTGAGTCTCAGGTAGGCTGGGATGGCCCCATTGGTGGCTCCCATATCCTTTCCGGCTGGCTGGTGAGTTGCCCAAGTGGTGTAGTGTCCCAGAGCCCCATTCCCAGATGATAAGAGGTATGGTGGCACAAAGGGTGCCACCTCAGATCAGGGTACCTGGGTTGGAGTCTTTGTGACTTCAGGCTGTCACTGAACTTCTGAGTGTGTTTTCTCATTTGTACATGGTGACAGTTCTACTCACTATCTATCCTGGTCATGAGGTGGCATATGACGACCTGCAGTGGCAACCTGCCTGGCACAGAGGCCCCCAGGAGAATGCCCAACACAGAATAGGTGTTCAATAGTCTGTCGTGGTCTGAGGCTTTCTCTTGTTGCTTAGAAGCTTTACAGTACAAAACCAAACTTACCCGAAGCTGGAGGAGACCATAGCGGTGGTTTACAGTTGTGACTTGGAGCCCCGGGGAGCTGGGAAAGGTGTCATGAGAGTCAGTCACATCCTCTAGTTTCCCTTTCTTGCCCACCCCTTTTGCTCCGCACTCCCAGGCTTTCCTAATCGTTCTTTGCTAGAGCAAACGTTGCCACAGGTATGTACCTTTCCTTCTTGCCTGGCTTTGGCTTCAACGCCTGAATTTTTCAGGTTGGACTGTTTCCGTCAGGGTGCAGCCTGGGCACATTTCACAGGAGGAGACCTTCTTAGACACCCGGCAGGAGTTCCATTCCCGCTCAGTGCTCGGCACGCGGGAGCCCTGGCAAAGTGGCCCGTGCTGAACAGAAACCTCTGGAGAGAGCACTGGGGTTCAACCTTGCCAGTAAGTTCACACTTCCCTGGATACCTTGTCTTCTGTGCCATTTGGTTCTCTGAGTAAAGAGACCCAGCGGGCAGTGGCGCCTTTCAGTGTCCATCTCTGGCTCTCTTGTCTCCTTGACCCTGAGCCCCAGAGGAGGAGCGTTGGCCTAACAGAAGGGGCAAGGCTCACGTGCACCCCTGGCCTTACTCGAGAAGGCTCCCGCTTTGTGCCCTGGGTGGCAGAGGGGCTGGTAATGATGGCAGCTTTTATAGACTTCGAATTAGAAACTTTGGGGGCTCTGGGTCTCGTTTCTACACGTTCTGTCCTCATCAACCCTGTCTGACCGGGGCCTCTCCTTTCTGTCCTTCTCTTTTTTGTAACCCGTATACAAGTGTAATCTTCTGTTCAGGGGCTCCCCCTGGGGGTGGTAGATTAAGCCAATGTCTGAGGTACTGAGCTGGTCTTGGGGGTGACGCCTCAAGGCTCGGGCACTGTCCTCTGCTGCCTGGAACACCTCTCGGGTTTCTGTGACTTTCAGGTATCCCCTTGACCCTCTGCAGCCCAGAGGAGGCGCTTTCCCTACTTCTGCAGTCGGGCCGCTTTGGAGTTGTTTGGCCTCTAACCAGGCTACTTGGGTGTGGCCCTGTTTCCCTTTGTTGCACCCCGTTGTGCCCCAAGTGCCCGGAACTCTGGCTGGCCAAGTGTAGATGCTCCGCAAACTCCCCGAGAAAGGCGGAGAGGATGGAAACGGGGTGGGAGAGGGGGATCGAGGATGAGGTTGGGAGTCACAGTGAGGGAAGGTAGGGGTCTTGGAGGTGTGACTGCGCTCAGGACATCCTGGCCCGGCCCGGCCGGGCTCAGAACTGCGGTGTCTCGCCCGCGCGGCCGGCAGGTGGCGGTGCTCCCTCGGCTGCCTGGCGGCGCTGAGTCCCCTCCTCCCGCGCTCCCTCCCTCCCGGCTCCTTTCTCTGAGCTCTTGCTCGAGCTCCCAGCGCCCTCCCGCTCTCCCGGCCGCGGTGTCGCCCGCACCGCCCCGCCGCTGCCTACGGCGACCATGGCGCACGGGGGACCCCCGAGCGCCCCGAAACGTCCTGGCCCTACCGCGCCGGCCCCGAGCTTCCGGGCTCCACCGCCGCTGTGCTGGCCGCGCTCGTGGCCGCTGCTACTGCTGCTGCTGCTGCTGGTGGCTGCCCGCGGGGCGGTGGGGCGCTCCCCCCAGCCCGGGCGCCCGGGTCCCGGGGCGCGGGTCACCCGGCAGCTGCCCGCGGGGCGAACGGAGTCCGGCGTTCGCGAGGATCCGCAGGCACGAGGATCGGAGCCCGGCGCCCCGGGTCACCGTCCAGGTCCTGCTCCGGGTCCCAACGCAGATGGCGCCCCAGCCCCGGGCAAGGGGCGCAGGGCACGGGCGGCGCCGGTGGCCGGTGCGGCTTCGCGCGCGCAGGTCTCGCTCATCAGCACGTCGTTCGTGCTCAAGGGGGACGCGACGCACAACCAGGCGATGGTGCACTGGACAGGAGAGAACAGCAGCGTAAGTGACCTCCGCACGCCCCCGGGCCCTGCCCGGACACCTCGGGGTGCCCAGGGAGATCAACACAACCCCCTACTTCCGGACCACCCGCGGTCACCCCTGCTGGGCATTCTTCGCGACTTGGGGGACGCGGGTCCCCTCGGCGGCGCCCCTACTGGCTTCTGGCCATGGGGTTACTTTTGGAAGGGTCCTCTGATTTGTGAGATTCGGTCTCACTCAGACGACATTCACGAAGATCTGGGGGACAAGCATTCCTGGCCCCTAGACCCGGGCTCCAGGGAGGTCCCTAGAGTCTTCAGGATCTGGGCTGCACGGGCTAACTCCGGGTCCTTGAGGGCCACTCGGCTCTGTGCCACGTGCATGGTGGGTCACCCACACACCGCACTGCACCCAGCCGCTTCGGAGTGCACCTCCGGGAGCGCCAGCTCTGGAGCCTGTTCTACCGGAGCTACGCTGATTTTAGGGTCCAGGGTATCCCTGTCAGTTCCATATCCTGTTCGAAGACTCGTAATTCTAGGATTGCTCCTCCTCGGGCGTCCCACGTCTGTCTTTGGGCCGCTTTGGACCTCGTGGTAGTTAACGTTATTTAACGTCGTCAGGTCTTTAGTGCATGCAGGGCGCCAACTCCCTGCCTTTCTCCCTTTGGCTGGAGACCTCCAGCATCCTTCACCATCTAGCACTCCCGGATCTAGGATCCAGTCCCGTTCACCCCGAGGTCCAAGTCTTTAATCTTTCTGATTAAAGGCCAGAATCACTGTGTCTCCTCTGGGCAGTCCAAGGTGTGTGCACTCCAGGTTTGCGAATTTGTGCTATCCAGGGAAGTGTGTGTTCATGAGGAGGGAGCTAGGAACCCCTGCTCACTGCCCTCACCACTGCCCACTCGTACCCCACCCCCAAGTAGGTGACTCCATCCCTTCTCCTTGTCTTCCAAGTTTTGAGGAGACTACTTAGCGTCAGAAGTCCCAGCATGCACTGGAGGTGGAGTGGGCGGGTCTCCTCTTTCGGTTGTCAGGTGGACATAATGGGGCTGCAGACGCTTTCACTCCTGTCTCCTCTCCTAGCACTCTTGGTGGCTGCTAGGAGACTTCCATTTGTGCTACAGAAGGGACAACCAAGTGGCCTTGGCTGGCCCAAAGCCCAGTCCTGCTGCCCTCCCCCCCCCCCCACTGGCTGGCTGCATGCATCCATGTAGCAGGTGACTTCCCTGGTCCCTAAGTTAATAGCATCTTCAGGAAGACTAGCAACCCTCGGAGGGCAGAGCTGGGGCTATGGATGCAGCTGGCCAGCAGGGGGCAGTCAGGGTGCTAATCGGAGTGCCTTGGGTGCTGCTCCCAAGAAGGGCATGGAGACGCCCTGCAGCTCTTCTCACCTGTTCCTCCAGCAAGCCCTTGGACTCTAGGTATGCCACCGGTCCCAGCCTTTCAGTGCCGGCTAGTACCTGAAGATAAGCTGGATCCCCTGTGCCATAAGCCATTCTTCGAGCCTGAAAGGTAGCCCAGAACCCAAGAACTGAAAAGGACAGAAACACAGAGTAGAAGCCCCATGGATCTAGAGTGCTGAGGTTGTTAATTCAACTATCATATTCTGTCACTTTGTCACTTAGCTTCATGGGAGGAGGGTATGAAAGAAGGGAGTGAGACGCCAGGTGAGGGGGGAGTATCCACAGGAAAGGAGGCCAAGCTGCCTCTAGGGTGGGCTGGTGTCCAGCTGAACCCCTTATGAGATGAGAGCCTGGCCCGGAGGATCCTCCTTGAAGAGGAGTTGAGGATGAAGAGTGACTGGCCAAAGAATTGGAAACGAGCTTGGAGGGATCCTCTTCTGCAGCTCTTATGACATGGGGGTAGGTGTGAGATGTGCACACTGGGGCACAGCCTGGCACTTAGCCCACACCTAGCTTATGATGAATGTGTGTGGGATGGCACGGAAACATTGTCTGGGCATCTTGGCTTGAGCCTTCTTCCTCCTCTCAACTCATTGCACTCAGCCTGGGACTAGAAGGAAGATGAGACTCTCTCCAGAATACCTGACCACTCATGGCTGGCAATGGGCTCATAGGCTTACCTTCCCCGGGAAAATCCAGGAATGGAAATAGATGGGTGAGAGCTGCTGCTGAGAGCTGTCTCAGCAAGCCAGGCCCTTTAAACATGGCTCCCTCAGATCTGGTTGTGCATAGCACATTCTTGGCACATGAAGTGTCTTGGAAGGGCGCTGCTCCCTCCATGCTCAATGTGCAGCCACGGGGAGAAAGAGGAGAGCCAGCACTTGGCAGTTGGCTCTACCTCTTGCTTGAAGTACCATCTCTGCAAGCTTGGATGAGAGAGGAGCACATGGATGCCTCCAGTGCTGTCTTTAGGAAGTTGCCTTTTTGCTGCTTGTCCCTGCCCTCTAAGATATGGTCCATGGTAGAGCATTTGCTTTTTGTTGTCAGGTGCTTTTCAAAATAAAAGCGCTGGGGGAGGGGTGTAGACTCTCCGAAATGGCATTAGAGAGCATCCTGCTAAGGGATGGGCTGAGAGGTGGCGGGACTCAAGCTGGTTCCCAGACAGTCTCTGTCACCGCAGCTCTGGGAACATATGTGAGTTTTCCCTGCAAAGGCTCTATTCTTCCTGCTCCCATGGAGATAGGGAAGGGGACTCGCTTGGAAGTTCAAACAGGGCCTCTCCAGCTGACGTTTAGCTGTGGCAACACATTGTTATATGTGAGATGAATGCTTTGTGGAGGCCGACCAGGGTTGCCTTTTGATGGACCCAGGCTGGGCTATGCACACAGGGCTCCGCGTCTCCACATTGCCCTTGGAGGCAGAGAGGTTATTCAAAGGTGGGAAATAGACCACAATGCTGGGCTCCACCTGAGGGCTGGCAGTTTCTTGTTAGCCTGGCAGGAATGTGGGGTACTGTTTTTTGGGGAAATTGCTTGCTGAATGGGCTTATTGTAAGCACAGCTCACCTGGGCTCCTTCCCATATGACACTTGAATATGACTCATGGCTTTACCGGGGTGTGAACTTTCCATAGCCAGGTCCCATCTCTGCTCCTCAGACTGACCGGTTACCTCCCTCCAGCTTGTGCCGTGTCTCCTGGAAGTGGTGGTGGATGTACACAGAGAATTCCTGGCAGATTAAGCACACTCCACTCTAGACATTGGGCTGGATTCCCTACCTGCGTCATTTTGTATAAATGCCGAGAGTCTGATGCGGGTCAGAAGGTGGCCTCTCTGTGTTGGAAGGTCAAGGGCAGGCTGTCTGCCTCCTTTTCTTGTATAGAGGTATCATGGCTTCTGCCAGAGTTGTATGGGAATTCAGTCATGACCCCTGGTGCAGGTCAGGTTCCTTGAGGGCAGGTATATTAGTTTGCTGTGGTTTTGTGACAAAGGACCATGACAGGGCAGGCTCTGGACAGCCGCCTTCTTTTGACCTTTCTTTGCACCTGGGCTGTGAGCACTCCTTCCCATTGGGATACCAGTATCACTGGGTTAAGGTCGCCTTGACAATTACTGTTAGAAGTCCTACTCCAAATTCAGTTTATGACCTTGGGGGAGGTCCATAATTCTGCCCCCAAGAGCAGGGAGTAGGTCTGACTTGTCATCCTCTAAACATAGCACCTGGAACTCAGAGTCACCTGGTGGGAGAGATGAGATGGACATAAACAGGCAGATGGGAGAAGGGCATAGTCAGGGAGGGCAGCATAGAAGAGGCAGCCTCAGGGCTGGCTCAAAGGATGCGTAGGTGGAGGAGATGAGAGAAGGAAAGGTTCAAGGTGGAGAGATCATTTGAGCGAGACCTTTGAGGTAGGAATTTGCAGGCCACAGGTCATAGAGACGTTGAATGCATTGCGTAGGAGCAGAAGCCACAGAAAGAAGCTGGGAGAAGAGTAAAGTTTGCCCGTGGTCTCCAGATGTGTGGCTGAGGAGCCCAATGGCAGTGTTGGGATGTGAATATTTAGGCTTCGGTGCCTGCTGGTCTGGCCTTGGATCCTAGGGCAGATGGAGGACATGCTCTGGGCCTCCGTCCTTACTGCGGAAGGGGGACTGGAAGGTTCATAGGCTGGTTGTACAAGAATCAGATTTTCCCCACAAAAATGCCCAGATGAGAACATGGTGTATAGCTAGAGGTTAGCATGGCACCCAACTTGGGTGTGGCCAGAAGGGCCACAGGAAGTGTACATGGTTGAGGTTAGGGAGACTCTGTACTGCTTTTGGAAGAGGCTTCCGGTTTAGGTTGTGCCCGAGGTGTATTGGGGAGAGTGGGTCTGCGGTAGGTGTCCAGGTACCGAGGAACAGGGTCCCCTGCTGCGCCAGCCTCTCACTGTCTTCAGTGCTAGACTCTGAAGCTTCAGCTCAGTTTCGACCTATTGAGACCTTCTGAGACCTGAAGTGGATGGGTCCATGCCTGGCACAAAGCTGACTGAGAGCCCCGTTTCCTACAGCTGTGGTTTTGTGCTGTTATGCTTTAACTACTTTGGTGTTAGAAGTGTCTCAGTGGCCCCTGGGCATTGCAGGTTCCCCGAGTTCAGGGTCCAGGGAGCCAGCCTCCCTTTGCTCTGGGGCTGGAGCCGAGGGCTGGCTTCCCGTGGGAGCTGAGACGGCACTGTCCTTGCAGCCACTACCAAGCTGTCCAGTGGCCACCCGAGTGAGACCGAGACCAAGGATGCCATGGCTCATGCTGAGTGTCTGTCACACAGGCTGTCGGGAGCTTGCCACTGGTGTGCAAGCCTGTCAGGACCTTAAGTCTAGTGTCTGAATAAAGAATGAGGAGAAAGACAGATACGCCTGTGCCGTGGGATGGGTGGCAGCTGAAGAGCAGTGTGGTGTGGCACAGGGTCTATGGGGGCAAAGCACAGGTGCGCACCTTGTGGGTCTTTTGTTGTGTGCTGAGGGTGCCGCAAGGTCCTATGCTGTGTAGAGTGGCAGGAGAGGGAGAGATCACAGGTGCTGAGGGACCCTGACAGAATCTGGGTGTGAGGATGGCTGTTTGTATCCTGCACAACTTTCTTCCCAGGGTGT